TTCCTTCCTTCCTTCCTTCCTTCCTTCCTTCCTTCCTTCCTTCCTTCCTTCCTTCCTTCCTTCCTTCCATATAGACTTGGATCCCATGGGAGTAATGAGTCCCAGATTTTGGACACATTCTGTAAGTTAGCCCATTTGAGATACTTTGGTTCAAAAATTGTTGCCCTATGATGTACTGTTTTGCCCAGTTGAAGGTTACAGACATGAGAGTTTTAGTAGTATATAGATTAGCCTCTTTCCAAGTCTCTGGCATCTTACCTCCCTGTAAGATAAAGTTCATCATATTTACAGAGTTTGTAAGAGCTCATCTTCAAAACATTTGTAGTACAAACCTGATAATCCATCTGGTCCAGGCACCTTTCCTGGTTTTATCATTTTTATAGCTTCTGAAACTTCCCTTATTGTTATAGGTCCATTCATTATTTGTCTTTGCTCCTCTGTAATCTTTGGTAAAATTTGTTTTTTTAAAATTTTTCTCCAAAGAAATGTTCTGTCCTTTATATAAATTGGAATAATACTAATAAAATGCTTTTTGCGTAGCCACATTATCCATTATCTGTTATCTCCCTCTTGAAGTTTTAATATCATTTTCTGTTCTCTTTCTTTTTGCAGTTTATATACCAACCATTTCCCAGGTTTATTTGCAAATTCGATTTTTTCTTTTTTTGCTTTACATAGTTCATTTTTATTTCCATTTCTCTTATTAACTTAGATAACTGTTGCTGTAATAGCTTATTTTGGTGAGATATGCTTATCTTGCCAGGGAATTTCTTTAACTCCTTTCTTTTTTATCTCATCCAGAATATTTTGCATTTTCTCTTACCTCTTCTTCTTAAGCTCAGTATTGTTTTTTATCAAACAACCTCTAATAAAAGCTTTACTTGTGTCCCAAACCATTCTTTAATCAGTGCCTTTATTTGAATTAATTTCAAAAATTCTTTCAACTTCTTTTTACAATCTTCCACTTTTCCTTCTTTCTGTAACAATGTATCATTTACAGACAGTCCCCTACTTGCAAACTTTCATGTTGCGAACTTTCACTAATACAAACAGGATGGACCCAGAAGTCAGAACTGGAAGTCAGGCTGGAAGTTGGAACCGGAAGGCAGGAGAAGGCAGGAAAGGGTTAGTCTGGAGCATACCACAAACTGACCCTTTCACACCTTCTCCAGCATTCCGTTTGCATTTGAGGTTTGCATTGGAGTTGGTGTTCCCAGAAAGGGTTAGTTTACGCGGCGCGCTCCGTTGCCGGGTGAAGCAGGAGAGGGGGTGGTGGCAGAGAACAGGGGAGGGGGAGCAGAGGTCTCCTGCCTTGCCCAGCAATGGACTTATGAACAAATGGACTTATGAATAGCCTCTTGGAACATAACCCATCCATAAGTAGGGGACTATCTGTAATCTCCATCTAAAAAAACTAGGTTTTCTTTTATAACCCAAACTCACAGGATTATGATCTGAAAAAGTCTTTGGTAATATGTCTACTTTAGAAACCTTAGTAACCAAGGTTTCTTAGTAGCCAAGATTTAGAAATGTTAGTAGCCAAGATTTCCTTTGAAATCCATATCATATCTATCTGTGAAAAAGATCTATGTCTTTCTGAAAAGTAAATATATTCTCTTGAATTACCATTTTTCTGTCTCCATACATCAACCAGCTCCATAAGGACTACTTACTCCTATAAACCCATCCATTTACTGAGATCAACTTCAGAAGCCTTCCTGAACTCTTCCTGAATCTAAAGCTTTGAACCTCCCTTCCAAGAGAGGCCTCTCTCATCTCATTAAGGATCTTCTTTCTCATCTTAATCTAAATCCTATTTTTGTTATCTGAATTCACTTGTTTGGATATAATCCCTTAAAGCAACAGAAGACGCATCTCCGTCGTCTGCATGATAGCCCTTCAAATATTTGAAAAGTATTTGTTGTGTTGTTTCTTGATCATCCCTTTTCCATCTGAAACATACCCATCTAGAGGTATAAGAACATTTTCTCTTTTTTTCTTCTTATCCTTCTCTTCCTCCTCCATGTCAGTCTTTCTCTCTCTCACACACACTTTTTTTTCTACTGCATTCTTTTCTTATTAAACAATATACAGAAA